GTGATATAGCACTGGCTATAGGGGAGAATTTTGAGAAGTACTTGATGTATGCGATGCCCATGCTTCAGAGGGCAGCAGAGTTATCTGCACATACTGCAGGTATTGATGATGAAATGACTGAGTATACGAATTCGTTGAGAAATGGGATTTTGGAGGCATATTCAGGGATCTTCCAAGGTTTCAAGAGCTCTCCAAAAACTCAGCTTTTGGTCCCTTATGCCCCTCATATACTTCAATTCTTGGATAGTATTTACATCAGAAAAGACATGTAAGTACTTTGCTGAGCTCTCTCTCTCTCTCCCTCCCCCCAGCTGTGAGTGTGAATGTGTTCTTAAATTGGAATTGTTTATTTGATGTTTTTATACTTGTTTTCCCTGTAGGGATGAAGTTGTTATGAAGACTGCCATTGGAGTCCTTGGAGACCTGGCCGACACACTGGGTAGCCATGCTGGTTCTTTGATTCAGCAATCTGTCTCAAGCAAAGAATTTTTGAGTGAATGCTTGTCCTCCGATGACCATTTGATTAAAGAATCTGCTGAATGGGCTAAGTTGGCCATCAGCCGTGCCATTTCAATTTAGGCCTCTGCTGGTTGGAAAATTATTTTTTTCACATTTGAAGTCCTTGCATGCATATGGGTGTGTTGAGTTGGGGTCCGGATTGCATCTTTCAAGTCTTCACTCTCAGGACAACGGGAAGCTGTTCACTTCTAGTTGTCACTAACACTTGCATCATCATCATCATCATCATCATGAAAGCATTGCTAACTATTGCATTAGCAGCGTCAAGTCGGGATCTTGTATGTCATGGTAGAAATGGGAGGAGGGAGCGTCCATTAGCGCCCCCAGTTCGTATGGCTTGGTCGGTTCGAGTTGTATCTCTGACTTGAGATAGTGTCCAACCTAGTGGGGTTTGCCTTGCCATCAAATGGTTTTGGGTTGTGGAAATGGATCAAGTACAGGAGTGTTCGTTCACTTCTTCTTCCCCTGATTAAACACCCTAGTGCTTTTTTCTCTAAACTTCTACTCTCTAGCAGATCTAGTTCGACACTTTTTACCCTTTTGTTTATTTTTTCTGCATCAGTCTTGTGAATTTTTTCATGGTCTGGTTGTATTCTGGTCTTTCCTGTGAAATTCACTTCATATTTGTATACGCCGGTTTGGTTCAGTTTCTCATAGCAACAGAAAGCATGAAGGGTCATCATTATATATCATATCCTATATTTGCATTTCCATTTGGTCGTGTTTTGTAGTTCAGCATACATGATCAATACGGTGAATTCACATAAATCATTATATATCCCACAGGTCATTTTTGAAGTACAGTCGTTTTTCTTTATTTGTTTATACATCCGATATCTTATTATTTTGCAAGTGAAAATTGTATTGGAAACATCTCAAAGGTTGTGATGCTCGCAGCCCCTTAGGAGTTGAGGATTTTGTTGGCTTGTATATATTGTCTGTATAAGGAAAGTTTTGGTGATTGGCAATTGAAGTTCATTTTTGAAAAAAGACCATTATTATATTCATAGCTAAGCTGTCATTTGTTTAGTACTTGCTTATCATGTTCATAGTGTTGTGTGTACACTTTCTCGTTCTTTCCGTAGCATTTTTGTCTGTTAATGGCCATTTGGATCATTAAATTATTGTGTCATTGTGGCCAACTTTCATTGTTTAGAAGATATAATGAGAATGAGATCATAATACTAATCTTTTCTAGTTGTAACGTTGTCTTTGCTTTTAGTATCTTTTTATAGTTTATTTATGAATTTTCAACCTCAAGCTCAACATGAGAATCATTTGATGAAGCCACAAGGTACTTTTAGTGTTGCTGGATCTTTGTTATTGGAGTATCCCTTAGATTTCATTGTTTTATCTAGATAAAAAATTTTGGACCCATTCGAAAATATTTTAGATGGGCTGGATTGGTGATCCGAGCAACTAGAATATAATTTATAACCTAGCTCCAATTTTAAGTTAAAAATGTTAAATTATTAATATTTTTAAAAGTAGTGTAGAACTGATCAATCTAACAAAAAAGTGATTACCCACGACCCTTGAATTTCAATTCTGTTTAAATTGAAAAAAAATCTAACTTAACCCAACCTTTCAGACCCTTGAATTTCAATTTTGTTTAAATTGAAAAAAAATCTAACTTAACCCAACCTTTCATAATTTTAATTAGTTAGTGGAATTTGTCAGATTATGGAGTTACATGAACACTTCTAATCTCGTTTTTAAACAAATTTCAACCATTTGGTTATGTAACTTGTTTTGTCTATCTAACCCACTTCAATCTCTTTAATTTTGTGCTTGTCTGTCTTATCCACTTTTATCTAATGAGTCAAACCATGAGGCGTTTGAGCTTAAAACTTCATCAAATCATCGATATCTTACACGAAACAAGAGCTGCTCAAACATAACCACAAAGCCAATAACAAAGACGCAATAAGAATGAAGTGAAATTCAAAATAGAATCCATAGAGCTTCTCATTTTAGAACTGAAATTCAAAATAGAATCCATAGAGTTTCTCATTTTAGAACGCTAATAATATACTTTCTCAATACACAACTCAACCATAAAACACACTCTTTTTATGTTTTTATGTTTTGTTATTTAAACCATAAGCACCAAAGAAAGACCCTCTTTTAAGGCTTTCCAATTCCGGGCTTCTTCGGATCATGCCTATTATTCGCTTTCGTATCATCGTAGTCCTCTACGTCGAGTCTCATAAGCTTCCTTCCATTCATTCCGACCCCACCAAGCTTCACATTCAAAAAAAAAAAAAAAAACTATTTACTTACATGATAACAACACTTTAAATCTCGCATCTTTTAAACATTACTTAATACCATGTAGATCGCTTTATTTGCAACCTTGACGTCTCCACCCGATTCAACCATGCCTAACACAAAGAAATAGATATACATTAGCATCGATCAAAACGACAAAATGACGAAACTTAACAAGAAGGCAGAAGTAGGTTACCCGAAGAGAAAGAAACGGAGATCGAGAAGAGGAGAGGAAGAAGGAGAAAGAATTTAAGGCTCGGAGACATTGTATTGTATCGAGGTAAAAGCAAAGGTAGGGGTAGGAGGGCATGGGAGTGAGGGTTTTATCCTTGATTTCCAAAGGAGAATGAGAGAGCAATTGAGAAGGTATTGTGATGGTGCTTCCCCCCAATAGCTACACAATCATGATTTAGTGCATTAACTTTAACCCACATCCATTTAAGTCAACTCTTTCCACTGTTCATATTTTTTGGGGTTAAAACTTAAAGAAACAATAAGTGATCATATGCATGTCTATGATGTATGCAGCCAATCCCCTTGCATGGCCTCACCTGTTGCCAAATTTAGTGCTTGGCTTGCAAGTGAGGTTTTTTTAGCCCATCTACTGTCCGCTTCGGTCCTTTACGTATTGTTGTTAGGCTCACAGTTTTAAGATGCATCTATTAGGGAAAGGTTTTCATATCCTTATAAGAAATGTTTTGTTCCTCTCTCTAACTGATTTGAGATCTCACAATCCACCACCCTTGGAGATCCAATGTTCTTGCTAGCACACCGTCTGGTGTCTAGCTCTGATACCATTTGTAACTGCCTAATCCCACCACTAGTAGATATTGTTCGCTTCGACTCGTTATGCATCGCTGTTAGCCTCACAGTTTTAAAGCACGTCTACTAGGGAGAGGTTTTCACACTCTTATAAGGGATGTTTTCACAATCCATCACCCTTGGGGACCTAGCGTCCTCGCTAGCACATCGCCCAATGTCTGGTTCTAATACCATTTGTAACTGTCCAAGCCTACTGCTAGTAGATATTGTCTGCTTCCACCCGTTACATATTGCCATCAGTTTCATGGTTTTAAAATGCGTCCACTAAGAAGAGGTTTTCATACCCTTATAAGAAATGTTTTGTCCCCTTCTCCAACTATGTGAGTCTCACAATCCACCCTATTTGGGAGCCAGTGTTCTCGTTGGCACATAGTCCAATATCTGGCTCTGATACCATTTGTAACTGTCTAAGACAATCACTAGTAGATATTGTCCGGTTTGACCAGTTACGTATCGACGTCAGCCTCATAATTTTAAAACGTGTCTACTAAGACAAACTTTCCACACATTTATAAGAAATGTTTCGTTTTCCACTCCAATTGATAGAATCTCACGTAAAAGCTTCTCAATTTCAAATGGGTACTCTAGAAAACTTCATAGATATGGATCTTATATCATGCATGTAAAGTAGTGGAAATGCCAAAATACCGAGTCGTAACAAGCTAACCGTACTAAAAGGTTGATCCGGGATCGATTTAGACTACCATTTCTGTAGGAAAAGAGAGTTGGGTTTCTATCACTTTCTAAGTCAAATAGATGCACTAAGGCATGAAAAGGAGACAACTCAGCATATCAAATTCTGTAAACACAAAGCTTAATTAATGATGGTGTTTATGTTTATGGGATAATGATTGACTAATTAAACTTAATACAAATCTTTGTATTAAATGACCTAACTTTTATACCATATTGGTATTTTAAAAAAACATAATTGATAAACTAAAAAAAGGAAAAAAAAAATGGATATGTCTAAAAAATTGAGGACGATTTTCGGTATTTGTTAGATAAACACGGCTCACCACAATGGTATGATATTGTTCACTTGTAGCATAAGCTCTTGTGGCTTTGCTTTGAGCTTTCCCAAAATACCTCGTACTAATAGAGATAGAATATATTCCCTAAATTAGCCGATGTGGGACTTTCATCCAATATTGTCTTGTAAACATCTCTAAATTTAAGGGTTTGAGTTATGAGATTCAAATTTTCACGTTTTAAAAATGTAGATCAATGCGTACTATGTAATAAGATCTCAGTAAGACAAACCAATTTGAACATAACTTAACTGAAACGTAAATGATTTGGTGTAACACGAATAAACTAAAAAAAAAAAAAAAAAATAGTAAAATGGCATCATAATCATAATGGGTGAATCAAATTCAAGAGTGCAATTGAAGATATAGCTTTAGTGAGACTACTCAAAAGTTGGTACAATCAAAGTGGTGTGTGCTATTCAATCCATGTGATGGGTATATACATAATTCTAACTATTTCTGTGTCGTTTAATGTCTATTTAGTTTATAAAATAAAAAATAAAAAAAAAATTTTACCAATGATTTTCATTTTTTAAATTAATAATTTGAATTTTTATCCAAATTTTAATAAACTTAATTTTAAACTAAGCTTATAATGTTTCATTATTTTGTTATATATTAATAAAGTTTTATAAATTAAAAAAAAATATATATTTTTGTAATTGGAAGATGAATGAATTGGGAAACTAAATTGTAACCATTGTTTTTGCTTCAAATGGGATTGTGGTTGNCACATCAAAAAAAAAAAAAAAAAAAAAAAAAAAAAAAAAAAAAAAAAAAAAACTTTCTCTTACGCTTCCATCACGACACCGACATTACATCATTTTCTCTTTTGTTTCTCGTCTGAAAGTAAGCATTAAGAATCAGAGGTCTCTTTTGTATTGGAGAGTTTTGAACCTTTGACATCATGGTCGATAGATGGTCTCTTTTGTATTGGATAGTTTTGAACCTTTGACATCATGGTCGATAGATGTAATGTATAGAATTTGAGCCGTTCATACTTGGAAAATAATCTAGTTTTCCATTTCAATGAAAGGAATTTTTCTCCGCTCTACCTTAATAAACTCAATTTTTTTTTTTTTATCGAGTTTAGTTGTGATGAAGAGATTAGATGGTCCGTTCTAAGTCCTCTTACTTGTATTTTACTACTTGTTCATGAATAGATGATCCCTTTGCTAAAAGGTAATCTAAAATATTTGAAATCAAAATTACAAAACATTTAATTTTGTTAGTTTAGCCTTCAAACTTTAACGAGAAGCAGTCGCAAAGATCATGGAGCTCTGTGACACAATCGCACTTTTGAAGCAGCGGACTAGCGATTGTGCGACACTAAAAAAGTAGCATACAGAAACAGGGTCCTATTTAAAGACCCACTTAAAATCATACCTTTCTGAAGACTAGTCACTAATCTTATTATAGGAAATCTCTATTACTACTTTTTTAAAGAGACTCCACTCATCTCATACTACAATTAATTCTAACTAAAACCAATGTATCACATACTCAGAGACCCAGAATGGGGGAGGGAGTTTCACCCTTCCACTCCCAGAATGGGTTGGGGTTAGAGATACTGAGGTTTAGACAGTAAATAAGTAACTACCTGACTCCTTACGAACAAACACTTAGAGATAAGTGTAGACTCTGATGTGATGACTTTTGTGGAAGGGCCCTCTCACATCAGACTAGTAAGGCACCATCCACTGTGCACAAATACCGAAGGCTTAGTGGAACTTCCTTCGGTGACTGCAGCGGCGAGTAACAAATACATTACTCCTTACGAAAACACACATAGACTCAGATGTGAAAAATTACTTCATATCTGACGAGTAAGGCACCATCCACTGTGCACCAATACCTAAGGCTTAGTGGAACTTCCTTAGGTGACTGCAGCGGCGAGTAAGGGAAACTGCTTATTAAGTCTTGCTATAATCCCCTACCTTATTCCTGACGTTACACACTTCTCGATAAGTCTAGACACTGATGTAAAGGTATCTACAACTATCTTTATAATATCTTTGGCTCGATAACGATAAGTGTTTAACACAGGAATATGAAGTCTTGCCTTATCTGACACTATCTTACCCTATCGGATATTTGGTATCTTACCCTATCGGATATCTGACCCAATCGTCATCTTACCCTATCGGATATCTGACCCAATCGTCATCTTACCCTATCGACTTTGGGCCATATCCCATTGTTGTAATATCTTATTTTTGCCAATAGAGACCATTACCCAACACACCCTCTGAGGTAGGAAATACCTTATCTTACCTTATCATGAGGTAGCCCTACCTTACCTTATCATGAGGTTGTCATATCCAGTTTTTGCCATTTCTGTATAATACTGCAGTGCGAATTACCCTCATACCTTCTGAGGTAGGAAAGGCTAAGGAAATGCGTATTACCCTCATACCTTATCAGGAGTAGGAAAGGCCCTATTACCCTCAGACCTTATCAGGAGTAGGAAAGGCAATGTGTTGAACAGGAAAATGAAATAGCCTTAGCAAGTGAGCTAAGCCAATTTGTTCTTGCGTCACCTACGGCCAAGCGACGTATAATCGAGCCTCTGGCCTCAGTTTTAAAAGAAGGTTTTAGAAAATGAGGTTAGAGAGAGATTTTTTAAAGAGACGTTTATATAAGCAAGCAAGAGAGAGATAACAACGACTTAGCATATATAACCTTGGGTAAAGAGGAGTTGACAACTAGTCATATCCCCTATAGTACATTCGGATGCATTTCATGTCTGGCAGGCCTAGACATGATATTTTTGAGGTGTCATACACCCTATAACTACAAAAGTAAAAACACTCGAATGAAAAGACATGACAAGAGTTTGGCTTGCCATGAGTATGCGTCCATGGACAACACGCCCTGGACGAGCATGACTGTGACATTCCACTACTCCCCGGTTAACTTTTGGTTGATTACCGACATTCTTGATTTTTCCAATGTATGTCCGCCGCGCGCTCGAGCCAACCACTCGATCGCCTCTTTGACTGTTATCACAACCCAATTCCTGAAATCCCCTATTCACCAATACCCAAATTTGTTCTTTGCTTTCTTCTTCACCTTCCAAATATGTCATTATTGAGGTTAGTGACACAATCGCACTTTTAAAGGCAGCGGACTAGCGATTGTGCGGCACTCACTTTCCAATGACAAGTGAGCTAAGCCAATTTGTTCTTGTGTCGCCTACGGCCAAGCGACGTATGATCGAGCCTCTAGCCTCGATTTTGAAAGAAGGTTTTAGAAAACGAGGGTAGAGAGAGATTTTTGAAAGAGACGTTATATAAGCAAGCAAGAGAAAGATAACAACGGCTTAGTATATATAACCTTGGGTAGGGACATTATATAAGCAAACAAGAGAGAGATAACAACGGCTTAGCATGTATAACCTTGGGTAGGGACAAGTTGACAACTAGTCATATCCCCTAGTACATTCTGAGGCATTTCATGTCTGGCAGGCCTAGACATGATATTTTTGAGGCGTCATACGCCCTAGAACTACAAAAGTAAAAACACTACAATGAAAAGACATGACAAGGGTTTGGCTTGCCATAGGCATGCGACCATGGGCAACACACCCTGGACGAGCATGACCGTGACATCCTCCCCTACTTAATTGGTTGACGACCCCGTCAACCGACTACTTTCAAACCTAGCGATGGGGATGGCGGCGGAGTTCAGATCTTCGGCGTGTTCCCAGCTGGTTTCCTCTGTAGGGAGATTCTTCCATTTGACAAGGAATTCACGAATCGTCCGTACAGGTCTTCCTATCTTCCTAACCTTGTCGGCGAGGATCTCCTCTACTTCTTTTGTTTCTTTTTGCCTCAGATCGATGCTCGGTCTTGTGATTGCATTTCGTTGGTCGTCGTCTGGGTCAGGGTGGTATGGCTTCAAGTTGCTCACATGAATTACTGGGTGGATTTTCATCCATGCGGGGAGTGCAACTCGGTAGGAGGTAGTCCCGATCTTTTTAAGAACTTCAACCGGGCCTTCATATTTTCGAACTAGTCTCTGGTCCTTTCGGCTGTGAAATCTGATCTGTTCTGGTTTCAGCTTGATGAGGACTTGATCTCCTGCTTAGAATTGAAGGGGGCGACGCTTCTTGTCTGCCCACTTTTTCATATGCTTGGAAGCCTTCTCTAAATATGCCCGGGCTATATCTGTTGTCTGCTTCCATTCTCTTGTGAAGTTGTGAGCTTGAGAGTTTTTCCCTGCATAAGGATGATCAATAATATGGGGTAAGGTTGGTTGTCGTCCACTTACAATTTCAAAGGGACTCTTTCCCGTAGACGAGCTGGTTTGACAATTGAAGCAAAATTGGGCGACATCTAACAGTTGTATCCAGTTCTTCTGGCGAGCGTCGACGAAGTGACGTAAGTATTCTTCGAGCAAGCAATTGAACCGTTCTGTCTGACCATCGGTTTGGGGGTGGTAACTCGAGGAGATGTTTAAGGTTGTTCCCAAGAAGGCGAATAATTCGGTCCAGAATGTCCCAATGAATCTGCCATCCCGATCACTGATGATGCTCGACGGAATGCCCCATAACTTTACAATGTGTTTGAAAAATAGTTGAGCTGTGAGTTCGGCCGAGCATAATTTGGGAGTGGGGATGAACGTCGCATATTTTGAGAATCGGTCTACGATAACCAAGATAGCGTCATATTCCCCGACTTTTGGGAGGTGTGTTATGAAGTCAGAGATACGCTTTCCCAGGGTCTTGTCGGCACAGGTAGAGGTTCCAAGAGTCCTGAGACTTTGGCTTTCTCGACTTTGTCCTGTTGACAGATGAGGCACGTCTTGGTGTATTGCATGATGTCGTCTTGCATGTTTGGCTAGAAGTACCCCTTTTTTATTAGAGCGTATGTTCTTTGCCACCCAGGGTGTCCGGCCCATAAGGTATCATGACATTCCTGAATGAGCTTCTTCCTCAGTTCTCCCGTTCTTGGGACATACAATCTGTTTCCTTTTGTCATCAGAAGGTCTCCCTCTACCCAAAACTATCGTGTTTTCCCAGCTTTAGCTAGTTCGACGACGGCTTTGGCCGATGGGTCTTTATGTTAATGTTCCTTGATGATGTCGCGCATCGATCCATTGATCTTACTTGAGTGAATATGGGCTAACATGCACAGGGCCACATGTTCTCCCTTCCGACTCAGTGCGTCGGCTGCTTGATTTCTCTTTCCTGCTTTGTGTTCAAACTTGAAGTCGAATTCAGCCAACGACTCCTGCCACCGGGCTTGTTTTGCCGTCAATTTTGGTTGATCAAAGAAGTGGCAAATGGCGTTGTTATCCGTCTTCACTACGAACTGTGATCCCAAGAGATACTGTCTCCAGACTCGAAGGCAATGGACTACTGCCAG